AGGGACCCGCTGCCACAGCCCATCCCGCGGCCCCCCCCTGAGGGTGATCCTGCGGCTTCAGCCCAGGACACCTACACCACCTACCTTGACAACGACACTGGATGGACATGGGTCTATGCTGCCACGGACGGTGCGTGCACCAACCAAGCCATCCCACTCCTAGCACGAGCGGGCTACGGCGTCTACTACGGCATCGACCACCGCATGAACTACAGTGCACGCGTTCACGGCCTAACGCAGAACGCCCAGGTTGCGGAGACCCTTGCCATCGTCCACCTGACGGCGTGTGCCGAACGGCCCGTGCACGTCTTCGTGGACAACCAGGCGGTGGTCGATGGGTTTCAAAGCATCATCGACGGACATCCAGCGCCGCAGGGCACGCACGCGGAGCTCTGGGCAAGGATTCACAGATGTGTCATGGCCAAGCCCGACATGTTTCGCGTCGAAAAAGTCGCCAGCCACCTGGGAGACCTGGGCATCGACCGTGGGCTCATCGGGCCCATCGCGGAGGAGTTCAACCGTCAGGCCGACGCCCTTGCCACAGCGGCGGCACGCACGCACAACCTCTCCGACGACATCGTTGAAGCTGCCAAAACACGACATCGCCAAGCGACCGTGCTCCACGGGGTCGCTGTCGCCATCTACGAGCGCAGACACCGTACTCTGCCGCTCCCACACCGCAGGGCTGGGTTTACAGCGGCTGAACTCAGCAAAATGGAACCAAACCCCCTGCTGTCGGACCAGGCACCACCTGCGGCTGGACCAGACATCCCGCAGAACCCGGACGAGCTCTGGGCCGAGGCACAACGGGCGATGTACGACGAACAGGAGGACGACCCGTTCGGCTTCGGCGGGGGACTAGACTTCCTGGACGACGGGCCAGCCAGCGCCAACCCTGCCCCGTCGGGCATCCGCACGACGCCCACCTCGACTCCGCCACCGAGAGCGGCACCGCACCCACATGATGACGTCGCTCACCTCCAAGACGCCGACGAGGACTTTTATGATCCCCTCGGATTGGGTGGCAGCATAGACGACGTCCCGCCGACACCCCACGCTGCCGACGATGCCGCTTCATCGAGTCGCCACCCGGTCACGCGGCCGACCTCTGAGCCCTCGCACGGCATCATGATTGGCCCCTCCGTGCCACCAACCCCGTCCCCCCACCAGCGCCAGCCCGCGGGGGCGGCTTCAGCCCCCCCGCAGGGCACTGAGCCAGTCAGGCCGTCGCGCCCCGTCCACGCTCCTACTGTTGCAGGCTGCGAGGCTGCGGCTCCTCCGTCCTCATGGGGCGTGGCCCCAGCGGCTTCAGCCCTGGGACCGCGCGACGCCCTCCAGTCGCCTCGCCACGGCGACGGCCGCCAGCGCACGGACCGCCGCACTGCGCTGGTCCACCACCTGGCCAGGCGCACCGATGACCTCGTCCCCGCCGCGAGGCCTGCGGCCGCGGGCACAGAGCAGCCGCCCCGCACCGACCGCGAAGCCGAGCTGTCCCAGTCTATGGCCGCTCTCCAGCAGAGGTGCGCAGCTCTCGCCGCCGACCTTGCCGCTGCCCAAGCCCGTCAAGGCCCTTTGCTCCAGCGCCTCCACCGCGCCGGTCGAGCCTTCGCCGAGCTGCTTACACCCCCGCCCGATGGTGCTGCGCCGCCACTCACCCTCCATGCTATGCTGTCATCGCTCCGCGGCGCTCCGCCTGGAGCCCCGCGCTAATCTCCGCCATTCTGCCTGCCCGTGTGCACGCGTGGCCCCGCGTCCACGGTGTCAGGGCGTGGGGGCGGGGGGTGCCCCGTCCCTGCGCGCCGCGCTGCGGCCAAGCGCCCAACTGGCGGTCTGCCAAGCCGCCTAGCCACGTGTCCGCACGTCGCCTTTCTTGTTGGGGCCTTCTTCGTCACGCGGTCTGACACGTGAGATCTTCACAGTCTGTCCGCCGTCCGTAGCTTCAGACGCAATGCGCCGGGGGAGGGGGTCTCTGCCCGCCCTCGTATCCTAAGGCTGCACCGCCGCCAATAGTGTTTTGCGGGTTGTCGCACCGCAGTGCGCCTCGCGGACGGACCCTGGTCCGCCTACTTGTCCGGTCTCTCTCTCTCTCTCTCTCTCTCTCTCTCTCTCTCTCTCTCTCTCTCTCTCTCTCTCTCTCTCTCTCTCTCTCTCTCTCTCTCTCTCTCTCTCCTCTCTCTCTCTCTCTCGCTCTCTCTCTCTCTCTCTCTCTTCTCTCACTCTCGTCTCTCTCTCTCTCTCTCGGGGCTCGTGAGATCAGCCAGGGGGCTCCCCCTTGGGGCTCCCCAAATGATGCCCCTGGCAGCGTTTTGTGACTCATGAGGCTCTCAAGAGAGACATGTTGGGGAGGCCAAACGGCAATTTTAGCTGAGACGTCCCACCAAAATCGGCGCGAACGGGCTCGTGAGATCAGCCAGGGTGGCTCCCCCTTGGGGCTCCCAAATGATGCCCCTGGCAGCGTTTTGTGACCATGAGGCTCTCAAGAGATACATGTTGGGGAGGCCAAACGGCAATTCTAGCTGAGGCGTCCCACCAAAATCGGCGCGAACGGGCTCGTGAGATCAGCCAGGGTGGCTCCCCCTTGGGGCTCCCAAATGATGCCCCTGGCAGCGTTTTGCGACCATGAGGCTCTCAAGAGATACATGTTGGGGGCGCCAAACGGCAATTCAGCTGAGACGTCCCACCAAAATCGGCGCGAACGGGCTCGTGAGATCAGCCAGGGTGGCTCCCCCTTGGGGCTCCCAAATGATGCCCCTGGCAGCGTTTTGTGACCATGAGGCTCTCAAAGATACATGTTGGGAGGCCAAACGGCAATTCTAGCTGAGACGTCCCACCAAAATCGGCGCGAACGGGCTCGTGAGATCAGCCAGGGTGGCTCCCCCTTGGGGCTCCCAAATGATGCCCCTGGCAGCGCTTTTGCGACCATGAGGCTCTCAAGAGATACATGTTGGGGGCGCCAAACGGCAATTCTAGCTGAGACGTCCCACCAAAATCGGCGCGAACGGGCTCGTGAGATCAGCCAGGTGGCTCCCCCTTGGGGCTCCCAAATGATGCCCCTGGCAGCGTTTTGTGACCATGAGGCTCTCAAGAGATACATGTTGGGGGCGCCAAACGGCAATTCTAGCTGAGACGTCCCACCAAAATCGGCGCGAACGGGCTCGTGAGATCAGCCAGGGTGGCTCCCCCTTGGGGCTCCCAAATGATGCCCCTGGCAGCGTTTTGTGACCATGAGGCTCTCAAGAGATACATGTTGGGGGCGCCAAACGGCAATTCTAGCTGAGACGTCCCACCAACATCGGCGCGAACGGGCTCGTGAGATCAGCCAGGGTGGCTCCCCCTTGGGGCTCCCAAATGATGCCCCTGGCAGCGTTTTGTGATCATGAGAGAGTGTGAGTGTGAGCTTAACTTATATTATCTTATCTTGAAATCTCTTGTCATCATATCTTGTGCTATCTTATCTTATTTTGTAGTATCTTATCTTGTCTTGTCTTATCTGGTGATTATCATTGGGAGGAGGGAGGCGCGAACGGGAGGAAGAAGGAGGAGGAGGAGTGGGAGGCGTCAGAGTAATAACAAGAACCCCACTCCTTAGGATATGGGGAATAATGATATTAGTAATGCGAATAAGCGGAATAACAATACTGATACGGATAATACTAAGAAGGCTAATTCGACGAACGTTATTGATAAACTTAGGAAGAGGACTAATAATACGAATCGTATCACGATCCGCAATCATAAGAACAGGTGAATGAAAAATGTGAGGACTAATCATAACACGAAGAAACAGAACACAGAAGAACACGAATACTATGATTACTAAGAGTGCTGACTAATAATGATAAGACTACTACGGCCATTACCAATAATCAGAAGACGACACAGACTCATACTAGTAATAATAATTCTACTAATAACAACACGGTGCTACGACTCACGATAAGACGAATACTATTGAGCATACGTCGATTCATAGTAGTAATACTCTCATGCGTAATAGGAGTACTAAGGCGACTAATACGAATACTCATAATATTGCGAACATGCGATTGCTACGGACGAAACGTACAATAATGGTACTACGAATACTATTGACAATATTGTAATTGGAAATCGTACGAATAACGGTATATATCTTATTTACGACATATGATAAGGCGAACACTAACTAAATGAAGAAGACGCAGAATACGACTACAACGAATAATAGGAATACTGTTACGAATAAGAAGAGTAACCATACGAGCCAGAGTTAATACGACGAGTAAGAATAATTACGTTACTAATTGGAGGAATAGGAAGAATCATGCGAACACGCATAATGATGCTACGAACAATACCACTAACAGTACTACTAGTAATGGTAACACGACTACTACTACTAGTATTACTCTTACTATTGCTGCTACTTCTACTACTACTATTATTATTACTACTACTACAACTACTACTACTACTACGACTGATACTAATACTAATACTAACGATCAAAATGCTACCACTAACAACAATACTACTAAGCACAACATTGTTATTCTTATTATTACCATTGTTATCGTTTTTTTGGTTGTTATTGAACATACGGTCCATGATGATTTAACGGATACCAATAATAAGACTACTTTCAACATTAGTCATAATGATACACATAAGAGTGATAGTAATCATAGAGGAGGAGGAGGTGGAGGAGGAGGAGGTGGACGAGGAGGAGGAGGAGGAAGAGGAGGAGGAGGAGAAGGAAGAGGAGGAGGAGGAGAGAGGTGGGGTAGGAGGGAGGCGGGAGGAGGGGAGCATGGAGCAGGGAGGGAGAGGAGGGAGGACGGAGGAGGGAGGAGGAGGAGGTAGAAGGGAGGAGGGGAGGGGAAAGGGATGAATGAGGAGAGGACGAGGAGGAGGAGGAACAGGAGGAGGAGGAAGAGGAGGAGGAGGAGGAGGAAGAGGAGGAGGAGGAAAGAGGGAGGAGGGAGGAGGGAGAAGGGAGGAGGGAGGGTGGAGGAATGGGCTGTTGTTTAATTGCAGCTCTCTGTTGTTTACTTCTGCGCAGCGCAAAATGTGGACCGTGGGACCCATCTGGCACTTGGCCAAGGGAGCCAGCTTGTAGATGCTGGCTTCGCCCCGCAGACCTCGTGCGTGCGCGCGCTGCGCGCTGGCGTCCGAGCATGCCCAGACCTTCTGACGACTCGGAGGACATCGAGTCGGGGAAACGCAAGACTCGTGTTCGCCGGAGCTCGGGTTGGCCAAAGCTTTCGGGAGCCTTGAGACAGGGGTCAATGCAAACGGGGGTCAGCCAGGGCACTGGATCCTGTAGGATCCTGCGAAGACCCCCTATGGCTGACCCGGGTTAGCCAGCCGCTCGTGGCCGCGAGGCGGCCGCGCATATTGGCTGACCTGGGTTGGCGAAGCTTCCTGCATTGCAGCTTTTTGGTTTCCTGCTGACCCGGGTCTGATTGACCCTGGTTTGCAGATCCCCGAAGCTTTTTGACGGGCCTGTCCTGAATGTTTGCGGTCCAGCTTTCTTCCCAGACATGCGACGTCCTGATTTTTTCAGGACGGCGTCCCTGCAAGTCCCGACCCTTTACCCGGGACCGGTTTTTCGTCCTGAATCGTCTTTTGACGGTCCCGAGGCCGGGCGAGCTCCCCTGAGGCCGAAAATAGCCAAAAGCATCCCGTCCTGATTTTTTTACGACGCGAGCATGTCTGGGTTTGGACGTTTGCGGCGGGAGCTCGCGTCAGATCTTGGATTGGGTCTCGTCATCATCCTCGCCGCCCCATCAGGCCGACCCGGGTCCCCCGAACCCGAGTCTTCACGCGTCTCCCCGAACGAGGCTCGAGGAGAGAGAGCCCTGGCAGCCTCGCGCCGTGGAGGAAATCACCACGAAGGGCTTTTTGATGGGCCTGCTTTCCACCACCACCACCATAAATGGGAGGGGTCGAGGGTCCTCCTCCTCCTCCTCCACCTCCTCCACCTACTCTTCGTCCTCCTCCCTCTCCTCCTCCTCAACCTCCTCCTTTCCCCCCCTCCAACTGATGGTGCTGGTGGTGGAAAACAGGCCCATCACTTTCGTCATCTTTGGCCCTTCGGGTCCCTTCACCGGGCGCCGGGGGCCGTCCACAGAGAGAGCTCGGGACGAGGAGCCGGTCCCTGGGTTAAGGGGTGCAGACCTCCGGGTCGGGGCGCGAGCGGGGGCATGTACAAAATCTCGATCGCCTGCTGAAGCCACCACGCCGTCGGCTGCCTGGGAGAGCGGCCCGGGGCGAGGTGCTGGCCCCGCGAAGTTCGGGGGCAGAAAAGAGGGGGGTGATGACTAGGGGAGGTGGGTATCATGGCAGGGGCCATGATATTTCCCCAGATTTTATGGCGCCTCTTCTTATTTCATTACGTCCCTGGCCCCCCCGCTGGGCCGCGCACGTGCCGCCGGTCATGATCTGCACCCCCCCCGTCTTGGACACCCCCCTCTTGGCCGCTCCCGAGAAGTGGGTCGAGAGGTTCTGGGGGCCAGCGGCCGAAGAGGAGCGAGCCGCCAGAGGTCTGGGGCAGTGCCCGCGCAGTGCTCCCCGAGCAGATTTTTTTTGCCGCAGGACGGAGCTGTGCGTCCGGAGTCTCTTCTCTTGGGGGCCGGCTGGGGGTCCGAGAGGTGGCCCAGCGCTGGCTCCGGCCAGCAGGGCGAGGGGGGCGAGGTTCGAGGTGCTCCGGGTTCGGCTTTTTGCCTTCTTCTGCCTCCGAGGGCCGCCTTCGGGCCCTGGGGCCGCCAGAAGCGAATCCCGGTTGAAAAACTGTCTGATGTGAAGTCGGGCACGTCCCTGCACAGGGGGAAAATTCCAAAATAGTAAAACAATAGTCAGGGGAGGATTTTTAGACTGTTCTTGACCGTTTTGGGTGCATTTTTGGAGTATTTGTTAAGTTGTCGTCCAAAATCCGCCTGTGTAGGGGGACATGCTCGACCTAAATCTTATGGCCTTCGGCCCATCCCGCCACTGTGCCTGGGTTGTGGGTGTGAAGCCTATTGAATGCTCGTTGGGATCTCGCGGGAGGCCTCTCGTGGACCGTTTGGGGGCCTCTTGGGGCCTCTCTTGGGCCTCTTGGGGGCCTCTTGGGGGCCTCTTGGGGGCCTGTTGGGGGCCTCTTGGGGGCCTCTTGGGGGCCTCTTGGGGCCTCTTGCGGGCCTCTTGGGGGCCTCTTGGGCCTACTGGGCGCCTCTTTCCTGGGGGCCTCTTGGGGCGAAAGGCTTGGATTTTCCGCTCGTGCTCCCTCTCTTGGGTCCCTTTAAGGGTCGTCTTGGGGGCCTCTTGGGCCGTCTTGGGCGCTTCATGGGCCGTCTTGGGGCGCTCCTAGGCCCTCTTGGGGCCCTCTTGGAGGCCTCTTGGGCCGCTTTGGGGTGGTCTTGGGGGCCTCTTGGGCCGTCTTGGAGCGTCGTAAAGCCCAAAAGGCGAGAATGTAAGATCCTTCAAAGTTGTAGGAAAATCAACGATTTGTGCCTCTTGGGAGGCCCCTTGGAGGCCTCTTGGGGCGTCTTGGAGGCCTCTTGGGCTATCTTGAGGCCATCTTTGGGCGTCGTGGGCCGATCTTTGGGCGCCTCGGGGCCCTCTCGGACCGCCTTGGGGGTCTCGTAGGGCCCTCTTGGCCCGTCTTGGGGCCCTCCTTGGGCCCGAGCAGTTCACGCGCCACCACTCCCCCGAGCCCACGGGGCACGCGGAAAGCCCCCCCGAGGCACGAAACGAGCCTTACCAGGAGGTTTCGGAATGTGGGCCCCGGGCCCTTCAAGAGACTCTTCGGCGGTGAGGACTGAGGCTTGGAGGACTGGGCCCAGGACCTGAGGACACGCCCTCTCCCGTGCCCAGGGGCACGGTGCCAGATACCAGAGGACCCCCAGAAGAGGTCCCGGAACCGATCTTGAGTGGACTTGCCCTTCTCCCCGAGGAGGAGGAGGAGGAGGAGGAGGGGGAGGAGGAGGAGGAAGAGGAGGCGGAGGAGGAAAGCCCATTTGGCCTCTGGCGATCTGGGCCTGCGACCCGATCGATCGGTCAGGGTCGATCGGCGCCTGCCGCCCGATCGATCCCGCCTCGCAGGCCGATCGCGAGGCCGGGCTCAGCGCGCCGCGGATCGGCGATTCGCCGCCGCCGCTGCCGCGCCCTGGCCCTTGGCGGCTGCTGCGCGCCTTCGGCGCGCCCAGGAGGGGCCCGACGCCCGAGCCCGCCTGGCACAGGCGGCAGAGGGAGCGCCGGGCGTCGGCGCGGGCCCTTCTGCGCGTCGTGAGGGCGGCCGACCTCCTCAGCAGCCACCACTCCGCGCAGCAGCACCAGTGCAACCAGCAGAACGAGCTGCAAGACTTCGAGACCAGCGAGATGGCGACCAACACGAAGTCTCACGGCCATCCAGTGGGGGCCAAGCCGTGGCCATGGAGGTCAAGCACACCAGCATCTGGATCCTCGTACCGCCGACACCATGGAGGGCATGGACAGCAGCAGCCACGGCACCAGCCCCAGCACAACCAGCACCACCACACCTCCCACCACGACGAGGATCAACAGCAGCACAACGACGCCCAGTACCAGCAACAGTATAAGTACGACTACACGACACCGAGAACGAAGCGGCACCCCTCGAGAAGACGCCACCAAGCCCCCGAAGACTCCACAAACGACCACCGACAGTTGCCAAAGCTGACGAAACGACAGTTGGAGGTCACAGAAAAGGTAATGCCCGCCTTGCTTTCGGATGCCAAGGGACACGAAAGCTTTTCTCTTCCTCCCGACGAGCCAGACATACGTAGGGTTTGGCACGCCACTAAGGTGGCGCGGATGGCACGTCTCGCCGACCAAGTCCACGGAGCCAGGCAAGCCCAAGTCGACCCGACCCGCTTGATCGAGGAGCTAGCCATAGTCAAGACCATGATACACATGCTGGACACGCCGACGGCTCGCATTTCACAATACAGATCCCAAGTGGAGTCACGGATCCAGAGACAGCAGACCGTCGAGAGCCAGCTCAAAGACCTCAATAAGGAGCACGACGAAATCAAGGGCGAGATTGCATCCCTCAGGGCACTCATCTCCGAGGCCAAGCAGTATCGAGAACACGCCGAACTTTACGAAGACAGTTGTGACGGGGACGGTGAAGATGATGGGAGACAACGTGTCAGGGGCAAGACACCACACCCCGAGAGACGACAGCGGACACCAATTCGACAACCGGTGCACGAGTCAGCGCCTGCTTCGACCACCAACGACAACAGCGACCTGCGGAAACTCATTGACGTGCTGACGAGGAGAGTAGATGAGCAGCAGCGCAACCACGGAATACATCAACATCATCTGGCGTTTCTCCACCATGAACGAGCCGAATCCGATCAACACGAAGCACAACGTCAACTGCAGACCGAGCAGATCCACGAGCTCTCGCAACATCTACAACATTGCCAGGAACAATTCCAGCAAGCACAACTCCAACAGAGACAGTCGTACTACGACGAGATCCAAGTCTTCCGACAGCGCGAAGAGCAGCTCCGACAAGAGGCTCGCGAATCCATCACGGAGAACGTCGCTCACTACCAGCAGAAGGAGGCCTACCTGCGCTACCAGCTCAAGGAGGAAGAGTCAGCGCACCTCGCCACCTTCATCATTCAGAGGAAGCAAGAGGAAGAGACCTTCAGACATCAGCTACACGAGAACGCCGAGATCATGGTCCAACAATATCAACAACGCTGCCACGAACAACAGCAACGTCTTCTTTCCGAGAAAGCCCAGGCACAGCAGGACATCAGCAACATCGCGAGGCTTGAACAGAACCAGCTTCAGGACGCCAAGGAACTACTTTTGGAGGAGTTCGGACAGTTTCAGGCTCAGAAGTACCGAACCTTGACAGCCCAGAGCGAGTACAACAGCGAGATCGACAGGCTTCGAGGCACTTCTCGCGACATGCAGCGCTTCGAGAACGAACTCCAGGAGCAGCACCAACACCAACTACAGGAGCATCTTCAGCAACACAGACAGGAACGCGAGCGACTGCACTGCGAACTACAGCAGGCCCACGAGTTCGGCACCAGCCTCGACGTGGACATCCTCAGGGAGCTCGACACACAACTTCAAGAACGAGACGAGGAAGACGCACGACTGCAAGCCCAAGCAGATGCTGAACAAGCACAAATCGACAAACAGGTACAAGCCGCACTCCACCTGCTGACCCCACCGTCTTCCTATGATGACTCGGGCTATCAACTATACCTCAGAAACCGCGGCAGCAGCAGCGGAGGACAGCCCAGCAACAGAGGACAGCGCAGCAGCACACCACCACCACGACCGACACCTGCGATGCCAACCGCCACTCCCACTGCGCGACGCCCATGCCACGACGCCGACGACGCCAGCGTGCACACCCCAATCCCAGCCGACGACGACGACCTGTGCAGCCCAACCCCTGTTGCAAGTGACGCATATCCCTTCCCTGTCCCTACGCCATTACCCACCCCCGCCTCGCTCACGCCGATCCCCACTGAGCAGCATACGCCCATCAACTTCCACCCACCTGACCCGCCAAATGACCGACCCAGCTCAGCGCCACCACCACGCACCAGAAGAACAGACTCAACTCAGCACAACCACCCATCCACTACTCTCCTCATTGACATCACTTCCGACGACGACGTACCACCACCTTCCACCCCAGTGCGCATTCCACTAGCCGACATATCTCCTACCGCACCGATGCAGCCAATCCAACCGCCACCTCGCTTCCACCTCGCCACGCCCGACCGCGCCACATCCGCTCCTCCGCCCCGCACAGCTCTCCGAAAAAACGGATCATCTAGACGAGCGGCCAAGCCCAAGAAAGTCCGTATCTGCGACATCGGAGACGGCTTCGCAGATCCAGGAGACCGAGTGCCAACCTTCCTCAACGACGAGGAAGCCCCTGCGGTCAACTCACCAAAAAACTAACGAGGCCCTCACCCCCTGGGGGGCAACTGGCCCAGGGGGAGCGGCCCAGCATCATACCAGAAGACTGCCTGTGCAACGACGGCACTTCCGACTCCTGCAGTGGTTACGCCGACGACGTCAGGCGCCGACTATTCGAGCCCCTGGTGAGCTCCGATCCACCATACGACACTTCACAAGTTTCACCTACCCTCTCATCAGCCAATGGCGGCATGCGCGTTGGGGAGAGCGCACCTCCAGATTCTTACGAGCATGGCGATATGTGGGAAATCCACACACCGCCCAACATGCGACAGCCTAGTAGTGGACCGTGGACCATCCCCTCGGCCTCTACCTCTCGCTTGGGGAGTGCGAGAAGGCTGTCTCACACAGATCACACAGAAATGCCCCGCCAGATTTTGCTTCCCACAAGCCCCGCACCAACTACGCTAGCGGACCGACCAACTACCGTCACCCGACCTCGACGGCAGCATGTCGACTCACATCCTCCACCAGCGGAAGCCCAGTCACGGTCGCTCCCGACGATGACGACGCCACCGCCTACGCCTCGAGAGGAAGCATCGCTTTGTGAGCACGACACGGGGGGGGACCCCCCCAGTGGCTGCAGCCGTTTGGGGCAAGAACGACAAGAACCACCAACAAGGCATCGACGTACTAGCCATTTTGGCCATGATGGCGA